AAGGCTAGAGGGGATTCCTCTGGGCTCTTTCAGTTTGATTACCCTGTAAAGTTATTTTCCCTCCTGATTTTACAGAGATGATTTTTACCTTTTTCTTTAATTAAAAGCCTTCTTTTTAAGAACCTGGTTGATTTTTCCTTGTTTTTAAGATCCAAGGGGGTTGGATCTTGATCCACCAGGAGATGGTAGGAGAAAGGAGGGGGATGGTTAATTTCTCCTTGTTTTAAGATCCAAGGGGTTTGGATCTGTATTCACCAGGGAATTGGTGAAGAGTCTCTCAAGGCTACCCAGGGAAGGGAATTAGCATTTTGGGAGTGGTGGCAGCAGACCAGAGCTAAGCTGGTAGTTAAGCTTAGAAGTTTTCATGCAGGCCCCCACATTTGTACCCTAAAGTTCAAAGAGGGGAAGAAGCCTTGACAACTTCCTTGGGCACATTCTGCGGATGTAACTACTGTGTAAGAGAATGAAGAGTTTCGGGCGGTACTGTAATCCTCTTCAACATGCTGGCCATACTGGGATAGAAATTCTTCAGGACTCAATGCTGAAGAGGCCTCATTCTGAGTCTGGCATAGGTGTTACAAATGTCATCGATGCCATTAGTCCCAGTGGCTTCAGAAAAAGCCCTGCCATATAAACTGGGTGTCATCAGTGAAGGTAGGGAATCTGCTATTTTCAAACTCCTCTCCTCCAGCAGAAAGGCCCTTCCTTTGACAGAGTCAAAGGGCTCCCCTATGAAGGGAATGAGAAGTGATTTTTGTTTGTTTATGATGAGACCCAGGGTTCCAAATAGAGAATAAGTGTTCTGAATGACTGCCTCTAATTTTTCTTTGGATTGGTCCTTCAGCAACCAATCATCTAAATACGGGAATACAGAAGAACCTTGCTTTCTCAGATGTGCCACTACTGGAGTTAAACATTTGTAAATACTCTGGGCGAAGTGGAGAGACTGAAAGGTAGGACTCTGCATTGAAAGAGGTATAAATGAAGGACAAAGCATAAGTACTTTTGGTGGGATGGTCTAATGGGAATGTGGAAATATGCCTCTGAGTTCAAGAGCAGCAAACCAATCTAGAGCAGAATAATTAGATCCCAGGAAAGCATCCTGAATGGAAACTTCCTGATATATTTGTTTAGATCCCAGAGATCTAAAATCAGTCTGAGGTCTCCCTTCTCTTTGGCGATTAGAAAAGAATGGGAGCAGAATCTTTTGTTTCTGGCAGCCAAGGGAACTTATTTTATAGCAACCATGCTCAGAAGAGCTTGTACTTCTATCCATAACACGCTCCTGTGGGAGGGGTCCCTGAAGAGGGAGGGAGGGAGGGATTTGTACAGAGAGAGTGATCTGAATGGGACACTAAAACCTTCTTTTACTTATCTAAAACCCATTCAGTCCAAGATGATAGTTGTCCAAGAATTGTAAAATTTGGACAGAGGGCTCCCAAATTGATTTACTAAAATTGGTTTGAAGGTCTCAACTAACTGGTCAAACCTGAGGCTTGGCATATGGTAAAGCAGATGTGGCTGAGGGATTCTTTATCCTCATATGAAGTTTGAAGTGTTTCTTCCTGTCATGTATCTGAGAATGTTTGTTGCTGATAGTGCTGCTGATGGTACAGTTACCTCTTCTGATAAGAAGTGGATGAAGAAGGTGGTATGTGCTGTCTGTGATATCTGAACACTGGGGTACAAGTTCTTCTGTAAGGTAGCATGAGTCCTTGAGACCTAGCTGTAACAGAATCTCCTTCAGCTTACCAATGTGTCATCAGTCTTAACACTAAATAAACCATCTCCGTCGAAGGGTAAATCTTCTATTTTGGCTCTGACCCGGTGGGAGAGAAAGGAATGTAGCCAAGCATGTCTACATAGAGTTATTGCTGTTGCCAATGATCTAGAGACAGCATCAGATATGGCAAATGATGCCCTAAGGGAATGTCTGACTATATTTTGGCCTTCATTAATAATGGATGATGTCAACTTCCTTTAGTCCTCTGGTAGATGCTTGTGCAAAGAGCCATCTTCTCCCACAATTCAAACTGATACCGGGCCATCACTGCTTGGTAGTTAGCTATATGCGTATTTAAGGATGTATAAGAAAGTAAGAACATAAGAATGGCCAGACTGGGTCAGACCAAAGGTCCATCTAGCCCAGTATCCTGTCTGCGACAGTGGCCAGTGCCAGATGCTTCAGAGGGAGAGAACAGAACAGAGCAATTATTGAGTGATCCATCCCCTGTCATCCAGGCCCATCTTCTAGCAGTCAGATGTTTAGGGACACCCAGAGCATGGGGCTACATCTTATCTTATATCACCTGATCATCTTAGCTAACACATTCTCTCACAAATGAGGGCAATGCACCTATTGCAGATAAGAACATAAGAACGGCCAGACTGGGTCAGACCAAAGGTCCCTCTAGCCCAGTATCCTGTCTGCCGACAGTGGCCAATGCCAGGGGCCCCAGAGGGAATGAACAGAACAGGGAATCATCAAGTGATCCATCCCCTGTCGCCCATTCCCAGCTTCTGGCAATAACAGGCTAGGGACACCATCCCTGCGCAGCCTGGCTAATAGCCATTGACGGATCTATCCCCTATGAGCTTATCTAATTCTTTTTTGAACCCAGTTACACTTTTAGCTGTCGCAACATCCCCTGGCCACGAGTTTCACAGGTTGACCGTGCACTGAGTGAAGAACTTGTGTTTGTTTTAAACCTGCTGCCTATTGATTTCATTGGGTAACCCCTGGTTCTTGAGTTTTGTGAAATAACACTTCCTTATTCAATTTCTCCGCACTATTCATGATTTTATTCAAGACCTCTATTCTTTTCCCCCCCAGTTGTCTCTTTTCTAAGCTGAATGGTCTCGGTCTTTTTAATCTCTCCTCATATGGAAGTTGCTCCACACTCCTAATCATTTTTGTTGCCCTTCTCTGCACCTCTTCTAATTCTAATCAATCTTTTTTGAGATGGGGTGACCAGAGCTGCACCCAGTATTCCAGGTGTGGGCACACCATGGATTTATGTAGTGGCATTATGTCTTCTGTCTTATTATCTATCCCTTTCCTGATGGTTCCCAACACAGTTAGTCTTTTTGACTGCCGCTCTGCACTGAGCAGATGTTTTCATGTTCCCTCCATGGAAGTTCTTTCAAAATGACTAGCTTGATTTCACAATGGGAATTGTGAGGGTCTGTTTCAAGCATAGTGCTAGTGTCTATGTGGTTACGACTCCTCTTAACTTGCCTCTGGAGATCCTTTCCTTTCCTTACCGGTGATCAGATTCAGTGATCACCCCCCCATCAACCCAGTCACCACTAGCCACAACCTATGGTCACTCCGTCACTTGGGCAATCCTTTCAGCACCGTGTCATCTTGTCTCACTGTAAATCAGTGGCCTGGAATCTGAATCTTTCATCTCCACCAGCTACTCCTTTCCCAATGCCAATCGTAAGTGGTCGTCATCTGTGATGGACTGGACTCTTTTAGGATTCACAAAGCTAGGCTTTCCAGCAGTGCTACAAGCAGTTGAGTTGCAAGAAATACCTGTGCAGACACCTTCCTGCATGGTTCATTCAGAGCAGAGACATGGTACCTGCAAGCAAGGCAGAACCTACCTCTGCTTTTGACTTTTCCTGGCTGTGATTTGCCTCCCTCAGATGGACATTTAACTGATGAATAAGCTGCTCTTTAGATGCCAGTTGAACTCTCAGTTCTTCTTGCTCCATCATTTGCTGTGGTGGAGTGACACTGAAACAAATGAAAATACCAGTGAAAAGGGACTCCCAGCAGAGGAAGGACAGAAATCAGAGACGTGTCATTGTGACATGACTCTTAGCAGCCAGAGAGAATGTGCACAGGTGGCCCAGGTTAAGCAATAAGACATCCTCTCTAGAAACTACTGCTAATTTACAGGATTCAGCTGACAAAATACAAAGTCTCTGGCCACATTTCCTTCCTGCAGCTGAACAGTCTAAACTCTAGCAAGCAATAAAAAACCACCATAAACAGAGCAACTCTTACATCTCGGAGCGTCTGCTTCTGGTCAGCAAACCCCAGGGCTGGCCTCTCATGACAACAGCCCTTTCGAAGTTCACATTCAGCTGCCCCTGACTGCATAGGTCAGGAAGAATCCCGGCTGGGATTTAGCCCCAATCCCTACCTCCCCCCCCCCCCACTGCCACTGTCTGGCTTGGAAGAGCCTCTTCCTAAGGACACTAGTGAGGCAGGGTGCAGAAAGGCTGTAGGACCCGTGCAGGGGACACCAAAAGCCCTGTACACACAGTCACTGTCTTCAGTAGGTAGGGCATGGTAAAGAGACAGCAGCTACATGGCCATGACCGTCCACACAGGAACCCAGATGCTCCCATCCAATGCATGGTGCAAAGGGGAGCAAAATCACACACACAAAAAAAATCTACAAGAATAGGTGGGAGAAGGGGAAGGCAGCTAGGTGATCGCATTCTGCACCACCACCTAGTCATCCCCACCTCCTTTGTGGCTGCTATGTGGGTGCTCAGAAGACAGTGTGCCCAGGAAAAAGGAAGGAGTCAAGGACCCCCCACAGCAGTTTCAAAATGGCAAATCAATGGCTGTACAGTAGGATAGTGTGCCAGGCGACTGGAGCTGGAGTGGTGGGGACTTGCGGTAGCATGGAGGGAATCTCTCTTGTGGGACAGGGAGCTGTAGGGTGTTTTCCTACAGATCTCAGCCCAATAAAGCATTTGGCAAGCCATGCGCCTTGTACTGTCTGCAGAGCTGCCAGCCCTTCCTCTCCAAGGTGAAGATTCAGCAGACTGTCAAGCTAATACACCCCTTGAGATTTACAGGTGAGTTTTCCTCTCCCACAGGCTTTAAGTAGGAGGGGAATATGTGGTACTCGATTCACCCCGTTAAGACAGGCTGGGTATGCAATTTGCATCCCCTAAGCCAGTGGAGGAAGCTGCTCTTCACAGAGCTAGTCACAGGGATTCTCCAGGAAAGAGCTTTAACTTACATTCTGGGTTCCACAGACCCCTCGCTAGTGGATAATGCCTAGGGGATATGCTCATCGGATGCATTTCCTGGGCCCCTGGCTGGTGCTGCCCACTTTTGGGACAGCACTGGCTGGCTCTGGGTCCCTAAGCAAAATAATGGGGGTTTCAGGTGCCTTGTGCCATTGCAACCCTCCTCCAGGCAGACTTTCTGCTGCCAGTGCATTACAGCTGGGTTCTGTCCTTGGTTAGCCAGGAGAGAATCCAGCACGTAGGCTATGGCTAGGAAGCATAAGACACACCCGCATCCATTTCCTCTTGTTGTAATAAAGTTGTCTGTGCAGTCAGAGACGCAAATTCCACGTTTGCATTTCCTCTACTTCTCTCCCCTTGTCTCTTGCTCCCACCGCCTGTTCCCAACCAAGGAGTCAGAAATTGGGCAGGACAATAGTAGGAACTAATGAACACAGAGGAGAGACAAAAAGCAAATTGCAGCAAAAAAGCAACTATTTATAATCAACAAGCGTATGTATGTGTGTGTGTGTAGGTCGGTAGGAGCCTATCTGTAACAAACATAGCAGTCATGACTGCTGCGGTAAAAATGACAAGGGAACAACATACAACAACAAAATGGGAGCAAATGAAAATCACCTTGCAGGCTCAGATGTGCATGAGCTCACAGACACACACAACCACCACAAACAGAACTCGGCTCTGCCTACTGGGAATGCCAACCCTCAGGCGAACCCTAAAGCAAGTATTAACCTACTTATCGCACCCTTAGGCAATTTGCAGGGCCAGGAAACTGAGCATTTGGGGAGCAGGCTGGGCAGATCTCAGCATTTAACTACAATATCCTGTGATCGTCTGAGGCAAATGACAAGAACTATTTACCATATTAGGAACATTTTTCAGCCATTTCCTTGATGTGGCTGGAGAAAAGGTCATTTTGTTTAACTAGAAGTGCCAGGGTTTTTAACAGAACAATTGCCATAGCAGGATTAGAACCGTCAATGAGCTTCTCTTCCTCTAACATATAGGAAATAAACGTGGAGCAAATCAAGAGCTTAGTTGTATCATCCACATTCAGATCACTGTTCTGGCCTATCTCAGAGCATATGGTACAAAACAGGAGCACTACCTTTGGCCCCACTGACTGAACACTATCAACCAGAGCGGTGCAGACCCATGAGATTGTGAACTAAGGCAGCTTACACTAAAGACTCTGCATTCCTGGGAACACAGGAGGTAAGCAGCAGAAGAAAGGATTGCAGGAGCCTTCAACTTCTACAAAGCTGGGCTCAGAGGTGGATATGGTCACGCAGAAAGGAGTCAGTCAGTCAGTCAACATAGCTTCTTCAAAATTCCAGTGACATCCCACAAACAGTCTCCTGATCTCCCTTCCTTCTCATTTAGCTCAACAAACCTGCCCGCTCCCTTGCTTGTCACTTTGAATCCCGATGAGCAATCTTCATTCAGCCACATGACACCCCGGGGCATCAGATCGCAACCCAGAATTCTCACTGCCAACTGTCATGGTGGTTTCTTTGAAATCCCGGGGCTAAGGACTCTGGGCAGATTTAAGACATATAAGTGCCAACATTCACAGGTCTAGTTCTCCCACTAATGGAGAAGGACCAGCAAACATACAGTGGGAGAAAGGGCAGGGACACAGACAGACAGGTGAAAAAAGAGGGAGAGTATAAAAATAAAAAAGGGGTCGCTGAAGGCAACAGGCCCCAAACTACATAGCTGGATTCTAAAACATGAACCATGAGGGGTTTTTTTCCCTGAATTTATTAAATGTAAAAATAAAATGTTTAGAGAATTTCCATTCAGAATTTTTTCTTAAAAAGCTGTAATAAACTGTCTGAACTTAGAAAGGTTTCAGAGTAGCAGCCGTGTTAGTCTGTATCCGCAAAAAGAAGAACAGGAGTACTTGTGGCACCTTAGAGACTAACAAATTTATTAGAGCATAAGCTTTCGTGGACGGATGCCTCCGAAGACATG